GATTTTAAATGCATCTGATTGACAGATAAATCATGGTTGATCTATCAGTCAGATGCACATAAAATGCATGCACTCTTATTTCATTGTTGTTGCTAATGTTGAGGTTATTTTAGCTTCGTACATTTAGTTTAACTGCACTGTTAAAGAGGGCGATTTTCACCATTCAACTGAACTATGTGCATGTATTTATGATACTGTATATGACCACGATATGAGAATTTATTTCATGATATCTAAATTATATATATACTATATATTATATTATATATACACACACACATAATTATTTATTAATATGCAAAAAAAAAAAAAAACAGGAAGGGGGCAAAAACCTTTTCAGAGCACTGTATAACACTCATTTGTGTGACCAAAATCAACAGAGTATTTTTAGTGTCTTTCTTACTGATCTTAAAAAAAGTGAGCTGGTCGCGCCGGCGCGACCGTCGACCCCAGGGAGATAAAAATATAACACCTTGGAGTATTTCATCCTTGCAGTTTGATAATTTACCTCTAATCATCCAAAGAGTACCGGTGGTTACATAAAGAGACCAGTGCAGCATTCTCGACTTTTGTTTTTTTTTGTAAAGATTTATTATACCATTTTGAAAATGCCCATTTTGAGTGGAAACGAAAATGCTCCGGTTACTAACGTTACCTCGGTTCCCTGAGATAAGGGAACAAGCGTTGCGTCGCTGATGCTTTTGGGGAAACTCCTGTTTACTCTGATACTGAAGCCTGATTTGTTCACGTTCGTGTAGCTGCACAAACCAATGGCACTTCAAATGGCCAAAAGTGGAGGAGCTGACCTCTATAAAATCTCCCTTCCCTTATCTCAAGGAACAGAGGTTACGTTAGTAACCGGAGCGTTATCCTTTCAAACGGTCTCTCCCATTCAGTGTTAATTTAGTTGACGAATAATTTTCGTCATAATTTTCGTTAATGACATTTTTCACAGGCAAAAATGAGACGATAACGAAATAAAAACTCGTTTTGAATGACAAAAACGGATGGAGGAGCTCGACAGGGTCTACAGTACGGACACTCTGGAGCAGTTTTAGCAAGCCGACAATAAACCGGGTCCTCTCAGTGCCTCTACCCGTTTGAGGTGAGAACACAGGAGGATACTGGCTCCACACGAAGGCTATAGAATCTAGCAAACTTGTTGGGGGTCGCCCAGCCCGTAGCTCTACAAATATCTGTCAGCGAGGCACCACGAGCCAGCGTCCAGGAGGATGCAACACTTCTAGTAGAGTGAGCTTGCAACCTGAGCGGGCAGGGCACACCCTGTGCCTGATAAGCCAGGGTAATGGCATCCACTACCCAGTGGGCAATCCTCTGCTTAGAGATGGCCTTCCCCTTCTGCCGGCCTCCGTAACAGACAAAGAGCTAGTCTGAGGTCTTAAAGCTTTCTGTCCGGTCTACGTACCATCGGCTGGGTCTGCCTCCTCCGGGGGCAGCGCTCGCAGGTTCACTACCTGATCCCTGAAGGGGGTAGTAGGAACCTTGGGCAGCCCAAACTCTAGGCACGAACCATTGACCGAAAATGCGTGCAGGTCCCCTACCCTCTTGATGGAGGCCAGTGCAAGCAGGAGCAGAGTTTTCATTGATAGAAACTTCAGCTCAACTGACTACAAAGGCCCAAAATGGGCCCTGCTGTAGTGCTTTGAGCACTAGAGACAGGTCCCAAGAGGGTATAGAGGGGGGCTGGGGAGGATTTAACCTTCTCGCCCCCTTAAGGAACCTGATGACTAGGTCATGCTTCCCTACCGATTTCCCTTCCACGGGGTCATGGTTAGCAGCAGTCGCAGCGACATCGACTTTAAGGGTGTAGGGAGACAGCCTTCACTTCAACCCTTGCTGCAAAAAGGAAAGCATGACCCTGATCGGGCATCTCCGGGGGTCTTCTCAGCGAGAAGAACACCACTCAACGAACAGGTTCCACTTCAAGGCGTAAGCATGTCTCGTAGCATGTCTCGTAGACAGTGCTCTTGCCGAAGTGGTGTCAACTACCTCCTGGGGTAGGCCACCTAGAACCTCCGCGTCCCATCCAGGGACCAGACATGAAGTTTCCAGAGGTCTGGAGGTGGGTGCCACAGAGTGCCCCGTCTCTGAGTCAGTAGATCCTTACTAAGAGTAACTAAACATAAATTATCTTTTTCAATCTTCATATTGTTTTATTTGTTCATTAGCACTGTTGATAAATTGAGGAACATTTGTGTTGGATAAAAAGTGAGTTAACACATTAGCAGCTACCTCAACGTGTAAATGCAGTATTGAGCAGATAAATCACAGAGGAAAATTGACTATTGTCTGGATGTTACAGGGACAGATGAGACACACGTGTGTTATCCGGTGCAGAGTGACTGATGAAGGAATGCTGCCATCAAAAGCTTTGAGTGAGTACACTACAGAAATGAATGAAACATCTTTTAAATCTTAAGTTGTATTTTATTTTCATTATTGTAATTTCAAACAGAGTTATTAGAGCACTTTTCTTATTCTTGATTCCTGTGCATTTGCTGCAGAGCTTTTGTGGTGGAGCAGGACCTGCAAGGAAAGGTGACGGCAGCATTTGTGGAAAAAAGAGAAGACCTGAAACTAAAACAAAGTAAGATCATTTTTTTTAACTTCTAATACAGAAATGAAATGACATTGTGCTGTTAAAATGACTGCTTTTGTATTGTGTTTTTCAAATCCATTTTTTGCAGGATCTGAAATGTCTGCAGACTGCTGTGTGCAGTGAGGATGGAGAGTCCACAGCAGCACAAGGATTGAACAGCATTGAGGCAAGCAAATAATGACTGAATTTATATGTTTTGCTGAAGTAACGCTTTAAACCCCCCAAATAGAAATTGTATGAAATATATGTATGCATTTATATTATAGTAGTACCTTGAAGAAATAAACTTGAAGAAATAAGCAACTTTATTGAGCGTCTGTGCCCAAGACACAAAAAGGGATTTACAAAAATCCCATTTACATTTATGCATTTGGTAGACACTTTTATTCGAAGTGACTTACAGTGCTCTTATTACAGGGACCCCAATCCCCCTGCAGCAACCTGGAGAAAAGAGCCTTGCTCTAGGACACAAATTAAGCTTTAGCGTTAGTTCTGGCAGGTCACGTGAGTCAAGCTTGCATCAGCTGAGACAAGCTTTCTGATATTCCTTGGTAATCAGACTCCTTTATCTTGAATAAAGTGTTACACTTAAATATTATTAAGTACATTAATGATATCTGCCTTGTTCTGTTCTGTTAACCCTAGGGGGGTTATTATTGCTGCTCTCCCTGCTCATTCATGACAGGCTGCATGGATGGGCAGGGAGGTTTTTGCCCAGAACAGAACCATACCGCCAAACCAAACTTTATGCTAAGTATCTATCATTTTGACGATAGTGGTCCTGACAGAACCAGTGATGACGACTGCAGAGATTGAACCAGTAACCTTCTGCTTACCAGCTCAGTGCTTTAGCCCACAACACCACAAAAGTAATGAAGCTATATCAAAAATTAGCATGTAATCTCTGATCCGTTCATTGCTTGCTTCTATGGCTGCAGTACGCTATGTTTGCTGCAAACTAGGCTACCAATTCTAGTGGGTTTTCTGCATCTTTTTCAGGTATTGAATTAAAGGGGCTTGCTGCTCTTCTTAGCTGCTTATAAACACAAAAGTAATGAAGCTATATCAAAAATTAGCATGTAATTGTAAACATATGAAATAAAATTTGGCAAGAAATGGAATGCTGACAGCATGAGATGTAAAACGTTTTACTTTGTGTAAATGTTTTACAGGTAGTCGTGCTCATGGAGAGCAGGAACACAGATGTTTGGAGCAGACACAGCAGCAATCAGATTGTCCTGCACATGTTCAAGATTTTGTGGTTCAGGGGGACGTCATCATGATCTTCCTCATCCTCTCTGTGCACTCAGGCAAGGACAGCCTCGATGTCTCTTTCCCATCCATGATCAGATTCCAGTCTGACTGCAGCAATGAGGGACATGATGGACAGCAGAGACAGGTGAAGGTGGACAAGGTTGTCAGCTGCTTCATCAGAATAAAGCTGCAGAACTGGAGCAGCTGTTTTGAGATGGCAGTAGGATGTTCACCGTATGTAAATACATCATTGTTAGAAAAGTTTGAATAAAGCTTTGTTTCATGTGTTGTCGACTTTGTTGTTGATTTTCATGGTTACCTTTATTCATTCTTTTACTCATATTCATGTTTCCTCTTGTTGTCAGTAAATAAAATATAATTGTTTCATTAACTTGTGCATTAATTACTTGACTGAAAATTGAGATGTATTCACTTTGGCTGCATTTGTCTAGTTTGTATTCATGCATAGCCACAAATGACAAAACAAATTACATTTAGCTTGTTTTACTAAAATTATATATTTAATTAATTAATTTTGGTCAGCATTTATCATTATTGTAAGTGTTGGGGTGGGCTAGCAATGCATTTTGGGGTAATCTTATTTTTTAAGTAGTAATACTTACATTTTTTGAGTATAATATCAGCAGTCTTCTCCAAAGGCGAGATCTTCAAGCAGCTGCCCGACGTCTCCTTTGTGCAGACATGGAAGCATCAGCGCAAGTTTTACTAGGAAGACTTAATGCCACGTCACATATTACAATTTGATCTAGCCAATCGGCACTCAACACGAGGATATAAAAGCCTTCTACTCACCCTTTATTGTGTTTGCAGATACTGCCGCTGTAGTTTCTTACGAGCGTTCTGTTCAAACCCAAATGTCACAGCAACCTCTCGTTGTCTGCGATTACTCAGACTCAGATAATGATTTCGTTCCACCATCTCCTGTTGCTACTTGGCGTAGCATCCGTCCCCAAAACCGCGACTCTCCATGGGCTCAGTGGCCCTCAGAGAAGATTATCAACACTCTTCAGGCTGCCGGCATTCCTATTAATCAAGATCTGTCAAGAGATGACCTGCTCCTTTTGGCCTTCAACACATTGGGTACTCCACCTGATTCACCTGCAGACACAGCCCAGTCAACTTCAGGAATGCCAGTGCAACCCAAACAAACTGGTAGGAAGCGGTCAGCTAAATCATCTTCGCCTCGCGCAGCAAAAGCCTTATGACATCTGCGTAGTCCTCACAACCTCCGCCTAACTCTGAAGATAATGATGCCAATGCTCAACTCATCCAGGCAGTCAAAAGCCTTTCAGATACTGTTAAAGGTTTCGAATCCAAAATGGCTATCTTTGAGAATGCTCTCCACCTTAATTTTCCTCAAGCTTCCCCCCGGCTTTTCCTCTCGCCTCCGGATCCAACGACCTTTCGAGTGCCCTCACTACATCCTCGGGAATACAGGCACCTAACCAGTTGACTAACACTTCAAGTCAAGACATTAACGCCCTTCCATCGACATTGCATTTCAATCTATCCACTACAGTTCCAGCACAAGCTTTTGGTAGGCGTTTTGTCTCACCTGCTGCAGTAACTGTGTCACCCCAAATAAGACAAAATATTATCCAAGGTAAGGACATCAACCTAGCTACTCTGCTGCTTCCTTCACCTGCAGTCGATCGACAAATGGTAGACTGCGGTGACGTGGCAGTTTTTCTCAAAATGTCCGATCCCAGACTACAACGGAATCTTTCATTTGGAGAATTCGTGATTGCTTTCAGTATTTACAGTGACATATTATGTCAAGTTTTTACTCATCGCAGGGAGGAATTAGACCTTTACTTGGCTATGATGGCAGATTTCAATCAACGATATGGGGGTATGCTATTTTACGAATATCATAAATCCCTCTCTGCAAAGTCTGCATCTTTAGTTACTCTATACAACTCAAGGATTGATTGGTCAATCACGGACACCGAACTCTTAGTTTGTCATTTTGGAGGCCAGACAATTTTGACCTGTCCTAGTAGAACTTCCATTTCTACCAGAAAGACTCTGGAGGTGAAGATAAAACTCAAAAGTATTTATTCACAGAACAAATACAAAGAACAGAATTATTTTGGCGTAGGCCCCATCCGTAGCTTGAGTCTGAAGTTGTAGATTCCAGCTATTCCTGCCGAAGACGAAGGCAGGGCGGAGCCTAACCCAAAAAGAAAGAAGAAAATTAAATACCCACCAGACAAAGTATTTCTTAGAAGATCCTAGAACATATGGACAAAAGAAAAGAAAAGATAAGATGTTTAATTGTCATAATTAAGGTGAGTATAACAAGTGTAAAAAATTTCTCAAATTATAGCTAAAGTATTAGCTTATAGAGTAGAGAAGATGACCACAGAGGCTTCAGAGACATTGAGGCCGCTATAAGCCAGATAGTGATAGAGGCCACGATAGGCCATATAGTGATGGAGGCCACGATAGGCCGGATAATTATAGAGGCCACGATAGGCCGGATAGTGATAGAGGCCACGATAGGCCGCGCAGAGATAGAGGCCACGACAGGAGGAAAGGCCCCGATAGGCCATAGTGAGAAAGGCCATTATAGGCCACAGAAAGAAATACCTCAGAAGGGTACAGAGGGGATACCTGAGAAAGACAGGCCGCAGAAGGAAATGCCACAAAGATAGGCAACAGAGGGGAAGGCCGGAAAGACAGGCCGTAGAAAGAAAGGCCACGAAAGACAGGCCACAGAAAGAAAGGCTAAGTTAAGCCACAGATAATAAACCATAGAGGTAGTTAGGAGTAATATGAATAGGTATTTCACCACCACCAGTAATTGTATATAGATTACCTTGAGGACGGCTTGAAATTATTTGCTGAGCCTTTGAGATGGTTTGTTGTTCAGGTCTAATGTAAGATTCGAAAGCGGAGGATGACCATCTGCCCAGTAACTTGATTGCTGATGTTGGAACTCCGCGTTCAGCAGCAGTTGTGGCCACCCCGATCCTAAAGGAATGGCCGGTGTGTTGAAGTGGTGACAGGCCGCAGATTTCTAAAACAGTGGCTAAATGAGAGCTGAACCAGGCCTTAGTAATGGGTGCACCGTTAGGTAAAATAAATAAAGGAGAGTGAAAAGAAGTGCGGAGACGAATTTTAAGATATCTAATCATGGAGAAATAAGGGCAGAACTGGGAATCATTTTTATATAGAGAATGTGATGCCTGATCCTATTGAGTCGTTCTTGGAGTGCTTGAGGAAAATGGTAAAGACATTAGGTGAAAAACGAACATCTGAAAGAGACAAATCTCGTGAAGATTCAAAACGCTTAGATTCAGACGTAAATTCCCCTGGACGTATGAAGCCGTAGAAAGCTGTTAAAAACAAAGCTTCTAAAAGAACATTAATGTAACCAGTAAACAGACCATTACGTAGGGAAATAATTAGCCGTTGTAAAACCGAGAAAGTAATGGGTAGGTGTTTATCATGAGTTCTGACCGATGATTTAGCTATGCCTTTAAGGAGCAAACGCACAGATGGGACGGAGAAAAGACTTGGATAATCGGGGTTATGATATCTGGCAAAAAATTGAATGCTTGCGAGCAGTTTCCGAATAGAAGTTATCTTTAAATTTCGAGTTTCATAGTTGTTTATAAGCCTGAGGGATGAAACAAAGAGAGTTAAACAAGAAAAGAAGAAAACAAAGGAGATTTAAGCCGATTTTGCTTGTGGATGAA